GGGGGGGGGGGGCGCAGGGGCGCACGTCGATACGTTGGTTGGTCCAAACGGCGGCGGCGGGCGACAATAGAATCACCAGGCGGAATAGTCTGATACTGAGTGTTTGTTTACTCCTCTACTCTGCAGCATACTGCCGGAGAAGTGATGTGGTGCACTTGGAGGCACCGCATACTGTAGCTGTGCTGTGTGATGATGCCGTTATTACCCGTGGTTATCGTTGGCATAGTCAGTGGATTCCCTCATGTGACGTCATGATGACGATGCAGGAGCTCCGCCGCGTCTCTTGCCAATCAATCATGAAAAAAGTTTTTGGTGCCCGATAGACTCTGTGCCCGATAGACTCTGGGCTGCATGGCGTTTGCGCAAGCCGATAACAAAGCAAGTGTAGCTTGAAACGAAGAAGGTAGGGCGCAACAGAAAGCAGGCAAACCATAGGATCTAAACAACCTGCATCTGTGACCGACGGTATAGATGCCAGTTCCGCCCTGGTGGGAAGGAGAAAAGAGGATAGAGGGATGGTAACCAATTACACTACGAGTGTGGTATCTGCTGCGAGTCCGAGTGTAGCATTTTTTATTTTGGTCCTGCGCAGCTGGTCGTGGCTTGCCGCTGCTGACGCTTGCTCGGGATCCAATGGACATGATAAAGATGCTATACTCATTGTAAGGTATTTAGAGTGAAAAACGAGAAGAATTACGACGCGGAGAGAAAAACAGTCGATGTGTGAGAATCTGCCATGATATTTATGCAAGATCTAGTCTATCTCTGGACGTTTCTCGTAAAACGAGATGACACGTAAAATTATTCGAGAGACATGTCCGTGCTCATTCATCATGCGAGCGAAGAAATTAAACCACGAGCCTCGCATCTATCGCCGCCCACGCTGCCACGATGACAACCACCCTGTGAAGCCTGCTGTTCTGACTTCGTCCGCGTTCGGCCGTTTTTTTTTTTAGGAAGATCTGTTATGTATGCACCACCGACAACCGCTTGCTGGCCTAGGATTGCCGAGCGCACCGATCACCCCCCCCCCCCTTGCCTTATTCCACTGAAGACCCAACACGACCGAGGAGGACACCAGCAGGAGAACCAGCGCTGCCCATGACCCTACGCCTGTATCCATCCCCCGCCGCGCCATGCTCTCTCTCTCTCGCGAAGCAAGGGCCGCCGGCCGCCGCCTCAGCAAGCGCCCGTTGGCGCGGAGTGAGTGAGACCTGAAATAGAAGCCGTTTGTGGAAGTTATGAGGCCGTCTCTTTCTCAAAATTGAACGAGGAGCAGTACCAGCAGTGCATCTATCAGCAGCGCCAACATGGAGACGACACGCCGGCCAAGAACAACACCCTACAGCAGTAGTTGGATAGGAAGAGCTTACCTCTGGAGCAAATATAAAGAAAAAAAGCGCCGCTCTCGGTTCTCAAAAGAAGAGAAACTTCGCCGCAGTTGCGATCGGTCCCAGCAGCGCTCCGCAGACCTTTCGGCAAAGTAGACAAGCAGGTGTGCGTGCAATTAGATACCGCTTCAGGGGTTCCACTGGATTCTCACGAGTGTTGTACTCAATGGGGATCGCGTCAGCAGAGGGGTTTGGCGGGTGTGTGTGTAATTGGTGTCACACACATGACAACCATTATTCTCTCGGGTCCCCCCGCTAATTGTTGTGAACCCCCCCCCCCCCCATGGGGCGCCGCATACGTAGTCGGCGTGCGTCCGTACGCTGTGTCGCAACACATCCATCCCTGCCTGTCTGTCTGCTGTGCCAGGGCGCGGAGAAGAGGCACCCCGATGCTGTTCCCTGGCAGAGACATCCTGAGAGTCTGCACGTCGTCGAGCCTCATCCTGCAGCAATCCAGCGGCTGGAGAACAACAATAATTGCGCCGCCACCACGAGTAGCGGTGGTAGGTCGATATCTTACGTCAACTAACCGTAGATCCCTACTGCCAGCGGAGGAAGGAGGAGGAGGAGGAGGAGAAGGGCGCCTAGGTTATCTCCCAAAGGCCGGCTGCCGTGTCTCTATGGGTCCCATACATGGCTCGGCGGCTGTTGGCGCCAAGGTGGAAAGCATCCGAACCGCGCTCCGGGAACTACACGATCATCCCGCTCATGGGTTGCAGGTGCAGAGAGGCGGGATGGGGACGTTTTCCGACACACACTTCACCCACAGCGCTCTGCGAGTCAGTGTAGGATGACTCAAACTGCCACTAACAAGGCTAGTCTCTCTCCCATACCCTTCTTTTGGGCTGCCATTCAATCATGAGTTCCTTTCAGAGGAACATGTTCTATTAGAATGAAATGAGTGTGAAAATAGATGCAGCAGCGGTTGTTGGGTTTGAGACCTTGTACAAACAATGTAGTTGGTGCCGACTAGTCCTTGGTATCACATATATGTAGATGAACAGCAGGATACGGTAACACCAATGTTTCTGTTCGTGTTTGGTTGTCGTTGAACGATTTCTTCCTCCTTGCTCTGTCCTCACCGTTGCTTCGATCACAACAAGGTCACGCAACAATTGTCCTTCCTGCTGCTGTCCACACCTTCGACAAGTAAACCGTATATGGCACAAGGTAACACACCCCCTGAACCAATTTTCAAAGCTCGATTACGCCACAACGAAGAGGATGCATAAATGAAACAATACATTTTCGGAAAGCTCTCGACGAGACAGCTTCAACGCCACCGTTTTCGGCGCTGTGACTCTGCTGTTGAGAAATCGAGATTTGAAAATCGATCCAGGGGGTGTGTTACCTTGTGTCATTTACGGTATGTACTGCGCCTCTGCGAGCGCTTCTTTGCCTCACGCGATTCGCCTTTCATCGCTTCCCGTGTTTCCGATCTGGCCGCCATACGCCCGCCAAATGACCGATGCCGCAGGTCATTATGGATTTCGACCTGACCATGACGGCACCAGGGTCGGAGCAATGCCATCACATGTTTGAGACGTGAGGAGAGAATGAGACAACAACAACGGCAGTATTGAGAGAAATAGGTCACAACTTGTGTTGTTGTGTGTACCATGGTAGGTATTCCATGCCCAGTAAAAAGTGGCGACACCAGCGCATATGATGCCCATGGGTCCCTCGGCGGTGCTCTGCAATGCCGACAAGAAAAAATGAAACCGCCAGTTTCCCGCAGGTCACCTGTTTGTTGCCCGCAAGGTAACAACGCTTCGCAGCCGGACATGTCCCGCCGACTGTTTAGGGCAGGGTCGGCACGCCAAGACTTGCACTGCACCAGAGAGACCTTGACGAAATGTTGGTGTGAAAAACGGTCGTTGGGCATTTCCTCCCCGTTGTTGTCTTGAAAAAAGACCCTGCCGGCGGTGATTGTTGGTCTGCTCGTGGAGGTGGCAAAGGGGGGCATGGTGGTGGCGGACCGGACCGAGTACACCGGCCCAGTGAACAGTTTTGCTCTTCTTGACGAAGCACATGTGTGTCTGGCGTGACAGGTCGCCCGCCCTCCCCGAAAAGCTGAGGAGGAGACTGGCGCCGTTCTTCACTGGGGAAATCGAGGTGCTGAAGCAGTACATCCTTGCAGTAAGCTGTAGACAGCTCTTTGTGCTCGTTGTGCTTGCCGGAACAGCATCACCTATTAATATGGTAGTACATGCATACGTTTCGTGACATGTCACACTGGGATACTTTCACCATTTGTGCCACGTGGCTCTTCCCGCATGTGTAGCAGTGTTTCGTGGGAACGTTGATCCCAAACTGCCTCACCAATTGACTCAACACTGCTGTGCTGTGTATTGTTTGCCGCTATGTACAGTAGTAGGCGCGTCGGGTCCTCGTTCTTTCGTCTTGCCGTGATTCTTCCGTTCTTCCGTTGCTTGACAGTTTTGGCCTACCCTACAGTCTTGTTTCCTCAGCGAACGAATATCCTTGGATCGTGCCAAACGCCTCACTACACGGGGAGGAATTGCAAAAAAAGTCTTGTCTGTGCACAAATTAGAGATGGGATTAACTTTGTTTTCATGAGCAAAACAGAAGGGGACCACTTTCCGTCCAATTATTGCACTCACCAAACAGAGTTTGTTACCGATTCTTCAAGTCATACATATCCCGCAGTTATTCGCTGCTAGGTGGGCAGAGCAAGGGCGTGACTGAAACGCATCCCACCGTTTTCTTTTTGTACCTATTTGCAACCTTTTTTTTGTGTGTTGAGCTCGGATTCATGCGCCATGTAATCGGAACCTCCGTCTGCCGGGTATTGTGATACCGTCTCCGCCGCTGCTGTGTTGCCTCTCTCTGTCGCAGTAGCTAACTACACGAGAGGCGTGGTGGGAAGGGTTCCACGATGTGCTGATCGACGCGAAAGTGACGAAGGCGCAGGTTGCGGCCGTTGCCGGTGGGGCCGATCTAGCCCTGAGAGATGGAACGGCCGAGCTCATGTTGCTGCTGCAGGAGCGTGGGGTGAGACACGCACAGGGAGGGAGGGACGGACGGACGGACGGACGGAGGGGGAGAGACAGACAGGCAGACAGAGACAGACAGAGACAGAGAGAACGAGAGACAGAGAGAGCGATTCGCCAGGCGGTAGCCTTGGGATCGTAGACAAGAGTACATATGACGAACATCGACCAACCAAGAATGCTACTGAAGCACTTCTATGCTGTTTTACCAAAGGCGCTGTGGGTGGAACACTTGAACCCACGACAGTTGGGAAACAGATTGTCAACAATATCTCCCACACAGGCGAAGGCTACTGACCCCCCCCACTCCCACAAACATTACTGATTTGTCTCGGCATGAACCCCCTGTTCCCTTGCCTTCGTGGGGCTATCTGCCGGGGGGTGCGTTTCATGGAAAACAAACGTGCTCAGGTGCCGTTGCTGGTAGTATCCGCCGGGATTACCGACATAGTGGCGGAAACCTTGAGCAGGAACGGCTTGCTGCTGGACAACGTCACGGTGCGAGCGAATACCATGCACTTCGGCGAAGACGGCAAGCTGGAACGGTTCCGAGAGTCCACGCCCGTTCATTCGAGGCAAGCAAGCAGAGACCACCACTCACTCCTGTCGCGGTTCTCTTCGAATTGCACCTAGAGCACGTTATTCTGCTGGGTTTGTTTCGTCGTTTCTGCATCGGGTGCGGGTAATTTCTCCCAGGCACGAAAGAGGTGGAGGAGTCTTGGGGTTCTGTTCGTTTATTTTTTCGCTTCAGAAATGCCGGCGTCGCGTTCGCCTCCCGCCACACGCAGCGAGCAGTCTCTGGCGGGCACCAGCCACCCGACCCAAGCAGTGACGCCAGCTGTTCGGCACCTATATATGTATCACGTTCGTATTTTGTTCAACCACCCTCTGCCTTAACAGCAGCAAAGGTTTTAACCTAGGTGCTGCTCAGTCACCACCGACGTGAGCTACGGACATCCCTCCTCGGGAGCAGCTACGGGACCGTTTCGGAAAGGCTGCATATGCCTGGCAGTTACGCAACCAAAGGGCAAGAGCAACAACTTCGTGCCCCCTTCGCCCCTCTCGTTGCTCTCGATCCCTCTTTTCTTTCAGGAACAAAGACAAGACAGCAGAGAGAGAGAAGGCCTACTTCGACTCTACCAGCCACCGCCGGCGGCTGCTGATCGTCGGCGACAAACCGGGAGACGCGGACGTCAACACGGGCTTCGCGCCGGACGACCAGTGCCTCAAGATCGGCTTCTTCGACCACTCTCACGAGCACCCCCACCCAGACCTTCCCCCGCTGCCTGCTCCTCCTGCGGTAACCATGTCGTCAGCAGCAGCTCCGGTAGCGGCGGCGAGCAACGGCCTAGCCGGCGAGACCACCGCAACGCTAGAAGGGCTCGGTTTCTTGCGCGGGGCAAACAGGCTGATGCTGCGGACCACGCAAAGCCCGATGGAAAGCACCGCCGCCGCTGCTGCTGCCGTCCAAGGCAGCGGAGCCTTTCAGCTGTCGACGTCGGCGGAGCAGGAAAGAATACGGGGAAGGCCGGGGAGCCAGGGCGGGGGCGAGATTTTCGTGTCCGAGCGGGGGCAGGAGCAGCAGCAGCAGCAGCAGCCTGAGACAACCGCCGTGGCAGAGGAGTTGCTCAGGGCGTACGGCGACCGCTTTGACGTTGTCGCGTGCGGGGGGCACTCCATGGACTTGGTCACAGACTTTGTCCGGCATTTTGTCGGCGACGGAGGAAACAGCGCAGTGGCTAGCGTTGACACTGAAGCTAGAAGACACGAGGCGCGGCAGAGTGCTTCTCCGCGGAAGCGATGACACGCACACACGGGGTCTCCAATTTTGTTCCGTGATGTCGCTGTGTTTGGGGAGGGTTCATGTCGCTGATGAAATTGTATGCATACGCTGCGTTCATCATTTTCGTGGAGTAAAAAAAAAAACTTGTGAGGAGCTACAGCAGCGGAGGGAGCACGCGCCTTGTCGCTTTTGGACTATGCAATGTACAGTATCGCCGTGGTGGTCGTGCGGGTGCACCAGACAACGCGGGAGGTTGTTGACCAACACTTCCTTTGCGACGAGGGCGAGAGGAATCTCGTGACCGTTGTACCCCAAGTGGGTCGCGCGCTCTCCTCCCTTGTTTCCGATCAGAACATAATAAAAACGCACTAAAATAACGAACTTTCGAGACACCCAGTCTTGAGCGAACTCTAAAAAACACTTGCACTTTACCACTGCTGCTACTTGTACCATGGGATCGAAACAAAAAAATGATAGGGCGGGCAAACTGCTGTTGCCGTCACACATGCGCTGCCAAGAAAAGAGTGTGAAAATATGACAGGTAAGTACAAACCAACAGATGGAGCCTCCCCGTCTCTCCAACAACTACTCTTGCAACTCATACAACATCGACCCGTCTCACCCGGAGTAGTGATTCCTCTTCACGGGTAAAGATAGCAGTGTGGCACTGGCAAGAATTTCCTTGGGGTGAAACACAAGGTTGAGCGGATCGTTGTTTTCGGTGTGTCGCCGGCGAAATAATCCGTATCATGTATTCTCCGCTACTCCTCTATCATAGGTCTAAACCAGCGATCGCCCGCCGGCAAACCGACCACGCTCTCGCGTGCACTCCAATCGGCAGCGGTAGGTCGGGGGGGGGGGGCTCAGCGAAATACGAACAGCATCCGTTCAACATCCATCCTATTTGCTAAAATATCTAGAGGTCGAGATCGACGATGGCTTGCTGAACTGTCTTGAGCTGGTCCTTCTGGGCCTGTAGGTTTGCCCTGACTTCCTCCACTACCTTGGCCGGCGCCTGGTCACGACGGTTACACGTACACGACGATCACAAGGAACGCATACACAAAGGTGGACACGAAGGCGTTACAACAGTTGGGGGCGACGTTGGATGCCTTTTTGCTGTGAGAAGGTGGTTGTGAGCAGCATTACTTGCTGTGAATGGTACGCATACGTTGTCGCTCAGTAGCTAATCGAATAACGAAGTTGGATGCCCTTGGTGTTTTGTGAGTTATCGCCTACATCGTTGAATCAAGCGGTGAAATAATACAGGAAATGCGGGAAAATTAAACAAACACGGCATCCGCAGGTCGGAAATGGTTTCAGCAACCGTGGGAATATGATTTGCAACGCGTGCGGTGCAATCTCCTTCGCGTTAAATACCTGGTCAAACTGCAGCGAACGTGAATCAAAAGCCGCATGTGTGTTCACACCAAACATCCAGCACCATGCCAGCACGAACCTTTTCTACGAAGTTCGACCCCGACAACCGCTTCTCCAAGACCTCCATATCCTTGGTGAGCTTGCCCGCCTGCTTCTCCAGCCGGGCTCTCTCCTTGTCCTTGTCGACGAGCCCCGCCATCGGAAGATACACTTCCAGTCCGTCCTGAACATTAATTTTCACGCCAAACAACGCCAAATCAAAACCAGCATCAGTGCGAACGACCGTCGTCCTCGCCAGCTAAATTACGCATGCACGAAGCGCACAACCTCCGCGTGCCTTTGTTAAGGCCATGCTGGGGCTAACGCGACATGCTTAAAAGGTACCGACGCGAGAAGATTATTGCGGTGGATTCTCCACCAGCGGTGCAAGTGTGGGCACAGTGCATCTGTGGGCGCGTTTACTCATCACCTCTGCGGCACACGGAGTGGCCTCCGCACTACATCAACACCCTTGATTGAGACTGTACCCTACCTCGGCATTGAGAGAGGCAAGGCCTCCTGATAAAATAACTTCCCCGACGGGGGGGGGGGTGTACTCAGAGCCGTGCATGCCATAGTCGTTGGACCGTTGACCTCGCATCCCTACAGGGCCGGGACGGAGCCCGCCGGGTTTTCACCGGACCAGGCTAGCACATCACCAAGCGCGAGGGGGATGCGGGGGGGGCAACAAATCCTTCGTTGGGGTGGGGAGGGGGAGGGGGGGGAGGGGTGCCGTGGAATGCTGCAAGCCTACCTGAACGACAAGGTGGACGTTCTGTCCCTCCGGCGGTCCGTCTAGCCCTTGCACCTCGAGGCCCTCGGGATCCAGCCGGCCAAGGAGGCACAGCGCTGCCACTTCCTTGATCACGTCTGATCGCAGGGCCTTGTTCGAAACCTGGTGGGTGGATGCGGGCGACAAAAAAAAGGTTCACGCATCGACGACGACAACGCTAAAACGGTTCGAGTTGAAGCGGAGAAGAAAAACTGACCACGACGACGTCACCTCCATGGAGCTAGCTAGCTTTGCAGAGGCACGCACACTAACAAAGTCGTAAAACATCCCACGGTCGCAAAACGCTGTCGTGTAACAGCGTGCGCATGGCCCCTCGCCACCCACTTCTCTAACGGCGTGGGGAATCCACGGATGCGGAGTATCCAACTCGATAAAGAGCTAACCAATCGATGAAGCACGCAACGCAGCAGCAGGGGTCTTCCAACAAACACGCCAGACGGCACCATTGTAAATTCTCACCACCCCGCTCCACCGCTTGCTGCTGTCGTCGTTCGTCTCAGAAATCCAAGAGAGTCACCCCACATACTCACGAGAGACAAATAGAGAGTACTTTACACAAGCAAGACAAATCTATCGCTTCATCTGGCCCTCTATCTCTCTCTTACTGCCGCACCTGCACAACAGCGGGAATCTTCTTGCCAGGCTCGACCTTATACTCCGCCTTAGCGTTACGGACACTTCGCACCAGCGACTGAACCGCCTCGAACCTGACCTCCGCCCAGACATGGGCGAAAACAAAGACGCACACAAGTCGGGGGAGACGCAAAATAAATAGGGGGGGGGGGGATTACGGGGATACGTGATGTGACTGGGGAAGAAGCGCGAGCGTGCGAACCTAGCGGCAGAAAATATGGCTAACATGCTTGGTGGCCCTTCCCTATCTGCTGCTGATACTTGAGGAGTTGACGTAGTGTTGACGGGTTCCATGCCTCCGCCGCGGGATGTTCAAAGTGTTCGGAAAAGACAAAAGATTGTAACCATCCCTGAACGACCAGAATGGAGGAGAGAACACAGAGGGATTGAGACCAAGAGAGAGAGAGATAACACAGGGCAAACACAGACATCATCAGCAACAACACAGCAGCAGCAGCAGCAATTGCCCAAAACAATGTCCGGTGCCGTACAACCGAGGGACACAGATCCCCACCCAACACCCTCACAAGTGTTTGTTCGTGGTCTTTATACCGCCATACAGTATAGAATGGCGACTTCTCACTCTTCACTGGTCAGCCAGCTACAGTACATGTAGCGCGGTCGATATTAACTCAAAAGAGCACACGCACAGACTTTTATTAACCCGGATAGTGGCGAAGACTCCCCCATGACGCCCGGTCACAGGGTCCCACATCGTGGCGTCTAGAAGCATTTTGGGTTTTCAACCCCACTGAGACTGACGTCTTTGCATTGCTCAGCCGGTTATCGCGGTCGATGCTAACAATAATAAACACACACACAAAAACACAAAACACTTTTTCCATTGGTCAGCCGGTTAGCGCCGTCAAAGGCACACACACACATAAAACGCATTCCCCCGCTCGCTAACTCGCCCGGTCACCTGCCGATCGCCAACTCGTCCACCGCGAGCGGCGCGTCGTCCACCTTGGGCCACGGGGCCACCATCAGCGCCTCCCCCGTCCTCGGCAGCTGCTGCCACAGCGCCTCGGTGATGAAGGGCATGAAGGGGTGCAGCAGCCGGAGGCACGTGTCGAACACGTACACGAGCGTCCGCCGGGAGCTCCTCGCCCTCGCCTCGCCCTCCTCGCCGTCGCCGCCGGCGGCGAAGCTGCCGATCCTCGTCTTGCTGGCCTCGATGTACCTGCGCTCTCCGCAGAGACGGACACGGCAACAAAGGACGTTTTTTTTTTTGGCAAGTACAGGAGAGGGGAGTGTGATTGTTGTTGAATTTAGGGTCGAGTGCGTTACTTAGCCGGTTGACCCGATCAAAGGACGTCCGTCTTGAAGCGGGATAAAATAACGCTAACAAGCTTTTCTATTGGTCGAAAGGGTGTGTGTGTATGCGCTGATTGGCTGATCTCGAGACTCAGAACGACGCAGCTGGGCTGGAACAAGCCGCTGCGGGACTGTGGGAAGGAGGCGTTGTAGAGGCGTGCATGTGCATGTGTGTGTGTGTGTGGTGGGCATGTTTGTCACCGGCTTGTACATAATTGACGATCCCAACCTTGACGGCCAAGACTCGCCCTCAACAGAAACCAATAATAACCAATCAACAACGTGGGGTTGGGTGAAATCGGAGTGGATTCTATTGGATTCTAAGCAGGAAAAAAGGGTACGTATTTATTGGGAACACCAGCAACCGCAAAGGCGCAAAGCCTAAAGCTGAAAAAACCCTTACAAAACCATGGCTTACATCATTTTGTGCCTACTACATAGCTGCAATTGGCTTGTCCGGCCTCCCGTCAAACTTGTAACCGTTTCATTTTCCTGTCTCTCCCTCATCCCCCCAAGGACCACCGCCCCCGCCCACCCCTCCATCCCTTCTAAAGCTCGAGCCCACCCCTCTTGATTGGATAGATGTGGTAGGGAAGACATTTGTTGAGCCACCTTTGGCAAAGTAGGAACGAACGATTGGCCATCGGTGATCGGTCCTGTGGGAACAGCAGTGCTCCGTACTCTCGAGGACGCGCAATCAATGGTCTGACCGCTAAGGCATGCAAAAAAACTTGAGCCCCCCCCGTCCCCCTCTCTCTCAAGCCTCCTCACCAGTCAGCGTACTCGTCCCACAGGAACTCGTAAATGTTCTTCCCCGCGTCTCCCATGTCGTACCCCTGCAGACCCGTCGTGACGCCCTCCACCAGACGGTGGCACTTGGACACGATATACCGCTCGGGGAGCGCCAGTGTTTCCAGCTGGTTTTCCGCGCGGTGACAGCACGCCAGCCGTTTGTGAGAGACGGGGACAAAGAGAGGGAGACACGTTCGTTTGTTTGTGTTTTTAGTGTGATGGTGGCAGGACGTGTCACAATATTCCGACAGAGGCTATCTTGAGGAGCCAATACAAAAAAGAGAGAGGACCAGCATGCAAACCAGCATGCAAACCAGCATGCAAAGTCACAATATTCCGACAGAGGCTATCTTGAGGAGCCAATACAAAAAGAGAGAGAACCAGCATGCAAACCAGCATGCAAAAACCTGCAGAGGTCGTCAAAAAGGGAGACGACACAATCGAAGGTCGTTACATACACTCACATTGGATGCTGCTGCTTGCAGGAGTATGTTGGAGGCGAACTACTTGCAGCTGGCAGCTTGGCTGGTACTCTCGCAATCCCCTACTATTCTAGACGCCCACACAGCTCGGTACACCTCCGAGAGTATCAGACGGTGCAATCACATCACACAGCAGGAGGCCGTTTTCTTCCTGCAGTCCATGCCTTCAGGCTGTCTCGCGAGAGAGGTTCAGCAAACTCCACTCCCTCGTCTACGTTGTATCTATCAAGTCGGAAAAATGCCTACACGCACGGCCAGGACTTGACGCCCCTTGCCTTCCAATACTCCCGTACCCCCAACTAACACCAACTCCTTGCCGTAGGGCGGGATCGAACCAAGCCGTCCACCACCGCAGCAGCAGTACCGCGGGCATCCTTACGCAACGTACCTCTTCGGCAGTCATGGGTCCCGTGACCGCTAGCGCCTCCCTCTCCCCCTCTCCCAGGCCCTTGAGGTTGCCCAACAGGAACCGACCCGCATTCCACAGCTTGTTCGCGAAGAACCTGCGTCAGACGAAAGGAAGGAAGACCGCGGAGGGCCGCCCGCGTTACTATGGGTACCTGGCGTTATCAGATGCTTTGTCGTGACGTCACGCACGATTGCGGCCTTTCTGTCGAGCCTTAGTGCCCTTCTGTTTGGTGTGCGATCGTGTGCGATCGGTGTGGCAATCGGCTCGTGTAGGATTGTGGCGCACCGTCTGCTTGCTAGAGGCTAGGAAGGCATGACGAAGGAAGAACAACGGACAACGGAAAGCAGCAATCTGTGGTCGGAGAGCTTTGGCACATTCTCAAGCTGATCATGAGGAAAAGCTGCAAATATCATTACACGCCGATAACGTCAGTGTAATGAGATTTGCACCTCTTCTTTATGATTACCTTGAGAATCTGCCAAAGTTGTCCGACCGCATATGCAGGTTGCTGCTGCTTTCCGTTGTCCTTCCTGCATTATGCCTTCCTATCGCCTAGCGTGCATACAAGATGGCAATCGGCTTGTGTTGGATTCCGGCAGTCTTGTGTATACGCTAGGCGAAAAGAAGATAAAACGCAGGAAGGACAACGGAAAGCAGCAACAACCTGCATCTGTGGTCGGACAGCTTAGGAACATCCTCAACGTGATAACAAGGAAAAGGTGCAAATATCATTACACGCGGATAACGTCAGTGTAATGAGATTTGCACCTCTTCTTTATGATCACCTTGAGGATCTGCCAAAGTTGTCCGACCGCATATGCAGGTTGCTGCTTTCCGTTGTCCTTCCTGCATTATGCCTTCCGATCGCCTAGCGTGCACACAAGATGGCAATCGGCTTGTGTTGGATTCCGGCAGTCTTGTGTATACGCTAGGCGAAAAGAAGATAAAATGCAGGAAGGACAACGGAATGCAGCGTAAGTCAGTGTAGTGAGATTTGCACCTTTTCCTTAAAGACCACCTTGAACGTCAGTGTAGTGAGATTTGCACTTTTTCCTTATGACCACCTTGAGGACGTTCCTCAGCTCTCCGACCACATATTTTAGGTTGTTGCTGCTTTCCGTTGTCCTTCCTGCATTATGCCTACCTATCGCCTAGCGTGCACACAAGATGGCAATCAAAGTTGTCTGACCACAGATGCAGGTTGTTGCTGCTTTCCGTTGTTCTTATTTCATTATGCCTTCCTAGCCTCGAAATTCTCCGCCGCCGATGATCACACTTCGGTCGTTCGCAGAGACTTTTCGCTTCATTTCTTGCTTTTCAACGCGACCAGTTCTTAGTTGCGGTGCCCATCCCCCCC